TCTAGTAGAGCGTCTATCAAGAGAATTCGGCCGTTAGGCTCAACACCTTGTTCTTCGCCAGTCAAACAAAAGCCTCGTCAATGTCGTCAAACACCTGCAGTAACGCCTATTAGCTCCAGAGAAAATGAAACCCAGCCAGGAACATCATCAAAACCAACAATTGAAGAACTTCAGCAACAACCAGGTACATCTTCACAAGAGATAACCGAACAATCTCCGTTTTTCACCCCTAACCCCTATCAGGTGCTTCAGAATGATAAAGAAGTGATGGAATCCGCTTCAATACCAAGAGATCCACGACCTCCACCCATATTCGTTAAAAACATAAAAAATTTTCAGTTACTATGCTCACAACTGAACAAAATAACAGGCTCTGGAAGCTATTCATGTCTAAGCAGAACAAAGGACACGAAGATATCACCAGATACAGCTGAAACCTACAGAAAAATTGTGAAGTATCTAATGGAAACCAACGCGGATTTTCATACGTACCAATTACGGCAAGATCGAGCTTTGAGGGTAGTCATAAGAAATCTACACCCCTCAACACCAACCGAAGCAATAGAAGAAGAATTGAAAAATTTAGGTTTCATAGTGCGCCAGATTACAAATGTACAGAAGGAGAGTAAAGAACAGCCAGGAGTAAAAGTTCCTCTACCCTTATTTTTCGTAGATTTGGAGCCAAATCAAGGGATCGAAAAAATATATGAAATTAGAAGAATATACTACACAAGTGTTATAGTAGAGAAGCCATATCCTAAGAGGGAAATCGTACAGTGTCACAATTGCCAGGCATATGGCCATACCAGGACTTACTGCCATCATCTTCCGCGCTGTGTGAAGTGTGGAGAGCAGCACAAATCCGGGGAGTGCACAAAACCGAAACGGGATCCTGCAGTTTGTGCTTTGTGCCTTGAAGGACATCCAGCGAACTATAAAGGCTGTCAGATCTACAAGAATATCAAATCAAGATATCAAAAATCCCGGACCCAAGAAGAAGCAGAGGCATCAAGAAGAGAACCTAACGCATCAAGAAGAGGACCTTCAAAAATAATTGACCCAACGGTGTCTTTTGCACACTTATTAGGAGGTAAGAATGATGTTACTTATTGTGAGACCCTGCCGCAACAACAACACATGCCTCAAAATTCTCAACCCCACCCTCAACATCTTAATCAAACTTCACCTAATCAACAGTTTTATCAACACCAAATTCCCCACATTCCTCCTCCCTCAAATACCACAGATCTTACCAGTTTATTTACATCTTTCCTCTCCGAATTCAGATCCCTTGTTACTCCTTTGATATCTCTTCTCACCAATCTTGTATCACATTTTATCCCTCCCGCTAAAAATCCTTAAATGACTTCCAATAAACCTTTATCCATTCTCCTTTGGAATGCGAATGGTGTTAGGAATCATACAAACGAACTAACTACATTATTACTTGACAAAAATATTGACGTGGCACTAATTACTGAAACTCGACTAACCACTAAACAGCACTTCAAAATACCACAATACCTGACATATCGTACTGACCACCCTGACGGAAAAGCACATGCCGGTACTGCTGTCATTGTACACCAATCCCTCTCCCATCACATACTCCCGTTAGCTACACATGATTTCCTACAGTTCACCGCTATCGTGATAAAAACCTTTTCCTTTCCGGTTACCCTTGCATCAGCGTATTGCCCTCCTAACCGATCCATATCCAATGCCCAATTCCGTTCTCTCCTCGACTCCTTAGGACATCACTTCATCTTGGGTGCAGACCTAAATGCCAAACATCAACAATGGGGTTCTAGAACCACGAATACTCGTGGCCGAACCCTGCTGTCTGCACTCAATTCCCAACGTTTTCACCTCCTTTCCCCCAACTCTCCTACCTACTGGCCTACAGATCCCAACCGTAATCCTGATCTCCTTGATTTCTTTATCCACAGCGGCTTAAGTCCCCTCAATTGTTCCATTACACGTCTAAATGAACTTTCCTCTGACCATAGTCCTCTAATCCTTAATGTTTCACTTGAACCCGTTCCCAAACCTTCTCCACCGTCATTTATTAGGGGTCCAGTTAACTGGGACCTTTTCCGCCAAATCATCTCCGATAAAATTGATCTTAACATAACCCTCAAAACTCCCGATGACCTTGATAGTGCCGTAAATTCCTTTACTACCACAATCCAACAAGCTGCCTGGACTGCCTCCTTCCCTAAAGACTCCTCCAGAATTCCTAAAAAGACCATTCTACCCCAACACCTCCTTGACCTAATCCACACCAAACGCCGTGCCAGATTATTGTGGCAACGTACCCGACATCCTGCCGACCGCTGCTCCTATAATTATTACTGCAAAAAATTAAAACTGGAATTAGCCACCTTCAGATCACATTCCTTCAACTCCTACCTATCCTCCCTCTCTTCTCGCGACAATTCCCTTTGGAAAACCACAACCAAAATCCTAAATCCTCACCGCATTTCCCATCCCCTCCGACGAGATGATGGCTCCTGGGCAGCATCTGACGAAGATAAGGCTGAGGAGTTCGCCATTCACCTATCCAATACATTTATTTCACATCCGGAATCCCATCCTGCCCACACCGTAACAGTAGAAGAACTCCTTACATCACCAATCCCACTTTCCTTGCCCCCAAAAGCTATTCATCCTTCCGAAGTGAAATTTCAATTAAAAAAACTAATCCCCCGTAAAGCTCCTGGACATGATCTCCTTACCCCTCAAATCCTTCGACAACTTCCATCCAAAGCAGTCATATTCCTTACATATATCTACAATTGTATCCTACGCACCACCCACTTCCCTCTGCTATGGAAACACTCCACTATTATCCTTTTCCCAAAACCAGGCAAACCTCCCAATATCTCAACATCCTATAGACCAATTAGCCTACTCCCAATCCTTTCAAAAATTTTTGAAAAGATCCTTTTGAAACGAATCCTACCCATTATAGAATCCCAAAATATTCCTTCCCATCAGTTTGGTTTTCGCTCCCAACATTCTACTGTTCAACAAGGACTCCGAGTTGTTGATCATATTTCCTCAGCTCTAGAAAACAAGGAATACTGTTCGGGTGCATTTCTGGACATTGCACAGGCATTTGACCGGGTATGGCACTCCGGACTGCTCTTCAAGCTTAAAATCCACTTACCTCAGTCCTTGTACCTAGTCCTCCGATCCTACCTCTCTGACCGCTCCTTCCGAGTTCGCTGTGGAACAGAATTTTCCAATATCTACTCCGTTAAAGCCGGTGTTCCCCAAGGCAGCGTCTTGGGTCCCGTGCTTTACATCCTCTTTACTGCTGACATCCCTGTTCATCCCGATACTTTTCTTGCAACATTCGCTGACGACACCGCAATCTTATCATCCAACTCTGATCCCAACATAGCATCCTTAAATCTCCAAAACCACCTCACCTTGATTGAGCACTGGTGTAATAACTGGCGCATTAAAGTTAATGAATCTAAATGCCAACATATTACCTTTACACTCCGACGCAGTTCCTGTCCACCAGTACACTTTAATTCCATCCAGCTTCCTTACTCAGACACAGTCCGGTATCTTGGTTTTCATTTAGACCGAAGACTAACGTGGAACCCACATACTAGACTCAAAAGACAAGAACTCAACCGACGATACGGCCAGCTATACAGACTACTAAACAGAAAATCCAAACTTTCTATTGAAAACAAATTACTTATCTACAAGACAATACTGAAACCTATATGGACATACGGACTTGAACTGTGGGGGACAGCAAAAGCTTCTAACATCAAACGTATTCAATCCTTTCAATCTAAAGTCCTTCGAACAATAGTTGATGCTCCGTTCTATGTAAATAACAAAATCCTACACCATGACCTTAATATCCCATTTGTCCTAGACCTTATTCCAGAAAAATTCTCCAAATTTCACCAGAACCTTACCTATCATCCAAATCCCCTTGCACAATCTCTATCCAGCACCACCCATCCTTACAATCCTCCTCGAAGGTTGAAGCGGCAGTGGCCCAGAGACCTTCTGTAAATAAGCATCTATTGGAGTTTTGGCAATGGCCAGATCCTCCACTCAAGCCCGAGTGTGTATGATTAGGTTAGTTCTTTTGTTTATATACATTTATTTTATTTTATTGTATTTATTTTTATTTTATTTTATTGTATTTATTTTTATTTTATTTTATTGTATTTATTTTTATTTTATTTTATTGTATTTATTATTATTAAGTTTCTGTATTATTATTATTTTTTTTATTTATTGTAAATAGAGTGTGAGTGTGTTCTCTGAACACTATTACAAATGTCCTTGATGTGACAGAATGTGATATTTCTAAATAAACAAATAAATAAAAAAACTTTTGTGGAATAAATGCTAAAGGATAAATTGTGATTTAGGTTGAAAAGCAACTATGAACACGAGACAGTTATCAAAATTTGTATACATAAAAAATTAATTTTTAATACCCCTGTGGTAAAAACAGAAATCAAACTAGAAATGGAAATCATTAAAGTGAGACCTCTTTTGGAGCGCTTGCCACACACCTAAGGGTGTGGAGGTGCCCCATCACCTTACTGTTAACCATCTTGATTTCTGTTTTCAATAAAACTCAAATACTTGTAATTAAGATAAGGCCTTAAAATGTAGCCCAGTGACAGAAGAAGGCGTTAAACACACAAATTGTCAAATTTCATTATTCATTATTGCGATCATAAAAAAATAATAAATAAATAAAAATAAAAAAGCAATAAAATTATTGGAACGTCCCACAAGCCATATCGCCGAAGCTTTTTGCGTTTTTGATTGGTATAATCAAAGTTACATTAATAATTGGCAACACAAAAATTTATTTACTCGTTTGGAACGTTTAAGTTAGTAAGTGGCAAATATTAAGACATAAAAATAATAAAAATTTATCCAAAATGGAGGTCGGAGCGACTCGTCTGAGGTAGGCACACAGTGTGTGGAGAGGTTCTCAAGATTCGTCAATCGAGAAGTGCGAGCGAGTCTCTCGTTGAGACTGATTCGTCGTCGTCGTCGTGGGTTCGTGTCTCAGGAGCACTTCGTACCTCCACGTGGGGTTGTCGAGGTTTAACTCTATATAAAATACAACTTGTCTGCTATTTCGTCATCTGAGGACTCAATAAATTAAATATTTAATTATGCCTCTGGAATTCGAAAACTATTTTATAAATATTCGATAAAATAAAATTTGTGTTCAACGATAAACGAATATAGCATATTTGTCTGCTTAGTAAACAGGTTTAGGTTGTTATTGCTGACTACTTTTCTTATAGATTTGATTTGAACTGAACATCTAGCGCTACCTGGTGGGTAATTCTGGATCTAACGTTCACCACTGAGTTTAGCTTCTCAAGGGTTTTTAAATTTAAAAAACTTTAAGGGTCTTGTGTATAACTATGATTTTACTTGAATTAATTTTCACATTCCATTATATCGGACTAACAGACGTTGTGAGAAATAGGCATCTACAGCTATATCAATATTGCTAACTCACTTAGTTTTGGGATTATTTTTATTTCTCCCAATATAAGGCAAGGATTCTTTGCTCATTGGATTGAAGGTTTGATTTTAAAATAATGATTTTTTATTTTTTGCAGTTTATAACTATATACATCTCATTTAAAAAAACGGAAAATCAGGTTTTCCTCAGTGACTGCACTCGGGACCAATTTTATTCATAAAGTTTTTCAATGGTTCTGGTATTAGTGCAACAAAATGTTCTCTATATCATCCGACAACATAATTTATTCATCATCACCAGGAGGTTCAATTTTAAATTCGTATTAAAGCCGTGTTGTAAAAACAACAACTTATTCATCAAACATCAGTATGTTCTAACATATGCTAGTTCTGGGTTAATCTAAAAACCATAGAATCAATAGAAACTACAATTAATTGCTTTTCATTTATAATTATTGGTAATGTTAGAAACAGCGGCTGATGTGCACTTAGCCAATATTTGAAGGTATGAGATGATTATTTTAAGGCTTAAGATTTGTGAAATAATAAAACCAACTTAATATCATCCGATCCCACTCATTTTGATTAATTTATGTGTTCAGAATTTATGATGTTCTTTTGTCCACAGTTCTGGGGTGCTTATCTGGTACTAATGATCTTACAGGAAGCAAAATATTACTATGATCTGACTTCATCGAAGAAGTCCATTTATTATAGTTATGAAAAAGAGAAAGAAATGTTCTTTTCTTCTCATTCACCGGTATTGATTAGTAAAACATTAGATATATACTACCTGTGAGGTATTTAATTATTTATTCGAGGCACAATAAATGAGACAAAGGCAGTATCAATTCATGTTGAGTATTAAATTTTACATATTGGAAATTAGAAGAATGGCGGTTATAATTCCATGGAAAAAAAAAAATAGCAACAAACATTATTCTTAAATTGATTTGGATTCTTTAGCAAATAAAATTAAATACGTAATTATATTTCAGAAACATCATAAGATATTGACCAGCCCTACTGAAGAATTCAGCTCATGGCTTGGCTTTCTTTTTGTCAAGAATTAATAGAGTGCGCTAGTAGTTGGTTCCAAGTTTCAAGTGGAAAGAGATTAGTAATCATTAGGAAGATATTGTGTAAATAAACTGCAGAAAAGTGAAATTCATCATAACGGTGTGCGCCATTCATATGCTCTGTAAAACAACACAATGCATACTTGGGCAATAGAAAGCTGAAAACTGTATGCCATGTGGTGAAATCTCGGATAACAAAATAAAGGTTAACATATACTATATATACCTTTAAAGAAGGTGAGCCGTGCATGGAGGTACGATGTGCCCCTGAGTCATGAGTACAAGACGGTCTTAACGCCCGATGAAACCTCACATCCTTAACTGGATAACAAGTGCAGCCCAACCTACTCATGGAGTACGGTTTACATCTACTCAGAGGGCGCGGGTCTTGACCTTCATTTTGCAAACTGTCTAGGTGATTATTGATTTATAATTTTTTTTGTTTTGTTACTTAAAATTTGGTTTTAATGTCTTTCTTTTCTCACTTTCCTCTCCGTTAAGGCTGTACCGGGCTTCCCCGAACGACGGTGCGAGGGTCGTGGTTCAAAGCCAGATTGATCCGGTTATCGTACGGATTATATTCATCTCAACTCTTTCAATTAATCCTTTTCTCTTGAATAATGATTAGGGTCAGGTCTTGCAGGTATATCAGATCTGGTTATCATAGCATTATGTAATCTTAATTTGAGATTTCGAGATATATTACGGGATTTCGAAACCCTTGAAAGTGTTAATAAAGCTCTTAATCGCTTTTTATATGTTGATATACTTCTGACCGTTGTTCATTTATGAAGGTCACTGTGCAGCCGAGAAATGTGAAATTGTCCTACCATCAGAAGCAGTTTTCCATTTATGCAGTTCCTGTTGTTGTACTGAATTTTTTTGGCTTACTACCATGTTGTTCCTTTTATCAACATTTACTTGTAGGCGAATTACCCCTGATCTCTTGTCAATGTCTTAGCGATTCTCCCATTTTTCTCTTGGTTGCTTCCCATGATAGTCATTTAGCATGAATTAATGAATGATTGGCTAGCTATTATTATTTACCTCAACGCGATGTTGATGATGTTTAACTGTACATAAACCATATGTTACTTCTTATTTTGTTATCCGAGATTTCAACATACACCATATCGCTTCCTACTGTTTGTTACTCAGTTATGCTGTGTATACATTTTGCATAACATAGAGAAGACATATACCATTATGAATGAATTTCACTTTTGTGGAAGCTTTTTGCGTTTTATTGGTATAATCAAAGTTACATTAATAACTGGTAACAAAAAAAATTATTTGCTCGTTTGGAACGTTTAAGTTAGTAAGTGGCAAATATTAAGACATAAAAATAATAAAAATTTATCCAAAATGGAGGTCGGAGCGACTCGTCTGAGGTAGGCACACAGTGTGTGGAGGGGATCTCAAGATTCGTCAATCGAGAAGTGCGAACGAGTCTCTCGTTGAGACTGATTCGTCGTCGTGAGCGAGTCTCTCGTTGAGACTGTTTCGTCGTCGTCGTCGTGGGTTCGTGTCTCAGGAGCACTTCGTACCTCCCCGTGGGGTTTTTTTTTTTTTTTTTTTTTTTTTTTTTTTTTTTTTTTTTTTTTTTTTTTTCCGATCCCTCTGAAACAAAACAAACATGATATCAGTGTCATATCGGACCAGTGCACTAGCGGAACGATACTTTGAATTACCTTGACCTTTTTCTACCTGTGGTATTTGAAGGTGCGTTGAATGATTTTTGTTTGTTATCTCTTCCTGTCCATTTAAGGTCTTGATAAGATTTATGGAGTTGAGGGTCCTCCGCTCGTTAAGTGAAAATATATAAAATAAAATAAAAATTAAGCATAACGATAAAATAAGTAGGGGGGGGGGGAGGAATAGGGATATGGATAGGGATGGGGAGGGGAGGACTAGCCGTGAGGCGGGTTAAATGATTATGTTGGTGGGGTTTATTGGACCCTTACGGCCTTGCCATCTGGCAGGGAGGGGGGATGGGGTGATGGATCGGAATAATGGGTTAAAGGATGCGGGGAGGTTGTCGAAGAACTTGATATGTCTTCTTGAAATATGTTGTTGCACAAAGTCGAGTTGTAGTTCGTTATGTATGTGTTTCATGTTTCGTCTTTCTAATGTTGTCCCTTTGCAGATCTTCATGAGTATGCTGTTCTGGTATTGTTGTAGTTTCTTCAGGGCTGTGGGATATAGGTAGTGTAGGAGGGGGGCACCGTGGAGAAGTGAAGGTCTGAGTATGGCTTTATATATGAGTAATTTGAGTCTGAGTGACAGCCCTGGAGAATAGAGTAGATGGCGGAGTTGGTATGTGGTAGATTTTACTGTTTGTATTCTGTGTTGTATGTGCGCTGTGAAAGATAAGTGTGATTCGAGTTTTATTCCTAGGTATGTGAGATGTCTTTTTGTTTTTATAGTTTGACCGTTAAGTTTAGGTAGTTTTTCAGTGGTTTTCTTGTATGAGAATGTGATGGCGTCGGTTTTTGCGGGGTTGATGTGGATGTTTATGTTTTTAAGTTGGTCTATGATCAGTTGGGCTGCATTTTGTGCTCGGCGCATTGCGTGTTTAGCTCCCATGCTTGCTGTGTAGATAGCAATATCATCAGCATAAGCAGCTATTTGAACTTTGTCAATTTTGGTCCCAACTATTTGGGCAGTGTAAATATTAAATAGGATAGGCGCCAGAACTGAGCCCTGGGGGACGCCACAAGTAACTGGCCTAGGGGGTGACATGTCAGTTTTGACTCGAACTGAGAAGGTCCTGTCACTGAGATATGAGCCGATAATATCGACTAGTTGTACAGGGAATTGGTGATGCCTGAGTTTATCGATAAGGATGGAGTGGGATACAGAATCAAAAGCCTGTGTGCAGTCAAGGGAGATCATGGCTGTGGCAAGATTTTTATTTAGGTTATTAGCTGTTTCGTACTGTAATTTAGCCACGTGGTGATAACAGCTAACGCCGCGAGAGAACCCAGTTTGTTCAGGGGGTACAATGTCATGTGAATCGCAGTGTTTTCGGATGTGGATGAGGATTAGTTTCTCATATATTTTTGAGATGTGGTCGAGGAGACTGATCGGCCGATAATCTTCCGGGACCGCTCCTCGTTTCCGGGGTTTGAGGAGTGGAACGACAATAGCATGTTTCCACTCCGTTGGGAAATATCTGAGGCGTGAGCATGAGTTAAAAATGTTAAGGAGAAACATTAGGGTTTTACGGGGTAGTTGTTTGATAAGGACAGAAGGAATATTGTCCTTTCCAGCAGACTTGTTTCCCTTTGTTTTTCTCAAAATTGCAGTCAGGTCTTTATATGTGGAGAATATTGTGTTATTTAGGTTATCCGTGTGGGAGATGTGATGATAAATGGTGTCAGTACGGGCATCGTCTCGTTCTACGTAGTAGTCTGATAGAATGCTAGCCTGGTCTGCAGGAGTGAGAAGCTCATCGCCTCGAAGGATTTTCACCGATTTGGATTTGGTGTTGTGGCTTCTGACTAGTTTCCAGAATTTTTTATGGTCGTTGTGGGTCCGGCGAAGTTGTTCATGCCATATTGACGTTTTCCACTGCGACATAAGGGATGTTATTTGTCTAGTAAGGCTGTTTATGATAGGTTTGTAAGTAGGGTCTTTAGTTCTGTACCAGCAGTTCTTGATGTTGTTACGTTGTTTTATGATTGATAGGATGTGTTTTGGTGGTATGCGAAGGTGAATTGGAATGGGGTTGAAGGTGGGTATGGTGGTGTTCGCTGCATTATGGATAATGTTGTGTAATGTACTAATGGCGTTGTCGATGTCTATAGTTGTTGTAAGTGTCGTGATGTTAGGTGTGTCACTATATACTTGTGTCTTGTATTGTTTCCAGTCAGCGTGTTTGAAATTGTATTTGTAGTCTGTGGGTTGAGTTAGGGTTGAGTTATGTCCTAGTTCGTATAGTACAGGTATGTGGTCGTTGTTGCTAAAGTCTATCGTGTTGCAGTTTGTGAATCTGTGTGGTTGTTGTGTGAGTAGTAGATCAAGTGTAGACGTGATATTTGGGTTAGCATGATGTCTATAAGTGTATGCATTAGGGTGTATGATTGTATAAGTAGATTTGGTCAGGAAGTTTCCTAATGCATTAGAGTTTGTGCAGTTCCATGTATGGTGTTTGGCGTTGAGATCTCCTACTATTATGTGACGTTTGTCTGTCTCGGTGTCCTTCAGAAATAGTTTTAATATGTCAGGTTTTCCACTAGGACTACGGTAAATGCATGTAATTTTGTATGTATGTTCAAGTTTTACTTGTATAGTAATTGCTGAGTGTTTGTCGTCATTTAGTGTAGTGTTGTTTATTAATCTGGAAGGGACGTCATAACGCACCAGAAGTGCGACGCCACCATGTGATGGGGAATCTAGTCGGTATATGTGGTACCCGGGGAAGTATATGTGAGTTAGTTTGTTGATTCGTGTATCAGTCAGTGCAACGACTGATGGCTTGTGGGAAGCCAGGAGAGTTTCTAGCTCAAGTTTACGAAGCATGAGCCCTGTTATGTTATAGTTTATAATCAAATGTCTAACCATTGATGTTTTTTTGAAGTATAAGGTTAACTGTGTTTAATAGGGTTGTGAACATGGACTTCATGTCCCTGAACATGCCCACGAGTTCGGAGACCCATGGGGGCTGTTCATAGGGTGGGGATTGGGTGGTGGGAGGGGGAGCTAGGTGGGCTACTCCCGCATAAGAGTCGGGTCTTGAGGTGGTGGGCGGAGCTTGTGATGCTTTACCCTTTTGATCTTGTCTGGGGTTTGGTGCTGTATTTCTTCCAGCATGAGCCTGCACTATGTTTTGTAATAGTGCAAGTCTTTTTTCGCAATTGCGATAAGAGGCCACATGAGGGCCCTGACAATTTGCGCATTTGAGGGGGGTGTTTCGGGAGCATTCGCTGATGTCGTGGTGTTCACCACATCGTACGCATTTTATCTTGCGGGCACAGTAATTTTTTGTGTGGCCAAATTGCTGACAGTTGTAACACTGCCTGGGACCATTGATGTTCCTCAGTTTCTCAACTGAGTACCCCATATGGTCGATTGGACCAACTGCTTTGAGGTTGTCAATGGTAGTGTCAGGGTCTGTCGTGACTATAATATGTGGCAGTTCTATTTTGAAGCCATCTGCGTCGGTCTTTTTCATCCTCCATACAGATTTGAGTCCGGGTAAGCGGGCTTGGAGGGTTTCAGTAATTGAATCAAGGTCATGGTCAAGGTCCAGACCTTTAATGATGAATTTATTAAGCGGCCTTGAACCGCGTGGGGAGTAGGTGTGAAAATGAATTTCATCGCTGACATTTAGGACATGTATTGCAGCTTCGTAGTCTGGTTTGAGGTCCAAATACAATTTGGTTTCGTCCCTATTTGAACGAATGGTAAAGTTTTTGATTTTAGCATCTAATAGAGCTTTTCGTAATGCCATAGCGGACATTGCTGGTCTGATAATAATAGGAGGTGGTTTAAACGTTTTTGGCGTGGTAGAGTTTTTGTATTGTGTATTGTTACTACTGGATGGTGTAGGGTCCGTGTTATTATTCATTGTCTGTAATGCAGAAAAACTGTTGGATGTTCTCGTCGGTATGATAGTTGGTCTTGGTGCGTACGAAATTTTCTTGGGTATAATGTAGCCTTCAAAGTCAGTATTTTCGTCCTGATTGTACCTTTTCAGTTTATTTGTGGGAGAGTTGAGGTGTTCCATTGTGCTATGTTGTATCTGTGGGTCATGTTCAGAGTTGTTGTTAGTAAGTGGTGGCGTCATGATGGTGATTTAATAGAATTGTAAGTTAATTTAGACAAATTAATTAACCAAAAGGTTAATAATTAAGCTACGTACTTACGTGAACCTCACATAATGCAGGAGCACACAAGAACGAGAAATAAACAATACGGAAAACCGTTAAAAACCGTTAAAAACCGTTAAGAGCTGTAGTGACGTCACCAGCGATGTACACTGCAAGCAAGCCAGGAACAGACTGTGGGGTTGTTGAGGTTTAACTCTATATAAAATACAACTTGTCTGCTATTTCGTCATCTGAGGACTCAATAAATTAAATATTTAATTATGCCTCTGGAATTCGAAAACTATTTTATAAATATTCGATAAAATAAAATTTGTGTTCAACGATAAACGAATATAGCATATTTGTCTGCTTAGTAAACAGGTTTAGGTTGTTATTGCTGACTACTTTTCTTACAGACTTGATTTGAACTGAACATCTAGCGCTACCTGGTGGGTAATTCTGGATCTAACGTTAACCACTGAGTTTAGCTTCTCAAGGGTTTTTAAATTTAAAAAACTTTAAGCGTCTTGTGTATAACTATGATTTTACTTGAATTAATTTTCACATTCCATTATATCGGACTAACAGACGTTGTGAGAAATAGGCATCTACAGCTATATCAATATTGCTAACTCACTTAGTTTTGGGATTATTTTTATTTCTCCCAATATAAGGCAAGGATTCTTTGCTCATTCGGTTGAAGGTTTGATTTTAAATTAAGATTTTTTATTTTTTGCAGTTTATAACTATATACATCTCATTTAAAAAAACGGAAAATCAGGTTTTCCTCAATGACTGCACTCGGCACCAATTTTATTCATAAAGTTTTTCAATGGTTCTGGTAATTGGCGCAACATAATGTTTTCTTTATCATCCAACTACATAGTTTATTCATCATCACCAGGAGGTTCAATTTTAAATTCTTATGTAAGCCGTGTTGTATAAACAACAACTTATTCATCAAACATTAGTATGTTCTAACATATGCTAGATCTGGATTAATTCAAAAACTATAGAATCAATAGAAACTACAATTAATTGCTTTTCATTTATAATTATTGGTAATGTTAGAAACAGCGGCTGATGTGCACTTAGCCAATATTTGAAGGTATGAGATGATTATTTTAAGGCTTAAGATTTGTGAAATAATAAAACCAACTTAATATCATCCGATCCCACTCATTTTGATTAATTTATGTGTTCAAAATTTATGATGTTCTTTTGTCCACAGTTCTGGGGTGCTTATCTGGTACTAATGATCTTACAGGAAGCAAAATATTAATATGATCTGACTTCATCGAAGAAGTCCATTTATTATAGTTATGGAAAAGAGAAAGAAATGTTCTTTTCTTCTCATTCACCGGTATTGATTAGTAAAAAATTAGATATATACCACCTGTGAGGTATTTAATTATTTATTCGAGGCACAATAAATGAGACAAAGGCAGTATCAATTCATGTTGAGTATTAAATTTTACATATTGGAAATTAGAAGAATGGCGGTTATAATTCCATGGAAAAAAAAAATAGCAACAAACATTATTCTTAAATTGATTTGGATTCTTTAGCAAATAAAATTAAATACGTAATTATATTTCAGAAACATCATAAGATATTGACCAGCCCTAATGAAGAATTCAGCTCATGGCTTGGCTTTCTTTTTGTCAAGAATTAATAGAGTGCGCTAGTAGTTGGTTCCAAGTTTCAAGTGGAAAGAGATTAGTAATCATTAGGAAGATATTGTGTAAATAATCTGCAGAAAAGTGAAATTCATCTTAATGGTGTGTGCCATTCATATGCTCTGTAAAACAACACAATGCATACCTGTGCAATAGAAAGCTGAAAACTGTATGCCATGTGGTGAAATCTCGGATAACAAAATAAAGGTTAACATATACTATATATACCTTTAAAGAAGATGAGCCGTGCATGGAGGTACGATGTGCCCCTGAGTCATGATTACAAGATGGTCTTAACGCCCAATGAAACCTCACATCCTTAACTGGATAACAAGCGCAGCCCAACCTACTCATGGAGTACGGTTTACATCTACTCAGAGGGCGCGGGTCTTGACCTCCATTTTGCAAACTGTCTAGGTGATTATTGATTTATAATTTTTTTTGTTTTGTTACTTAAAATTTGGTTTTAATGTCTTTCTTTTCTTACTTTCCTCGCCGTTAAGGCTGTACAGGGTTTTGAGGGCGTACTGACGGTGTGAGGGCGGTGGATCAATCCTACAGTTAAAAGACCCCTCTGGTCATCGGGAGGCGAATTCGTACTTATTTTATCGCGTTAGCCCCCTCGGTCTCCCCATCCCATCGATTTTAATAACTAATGTTATATCCCATGATAATTAAGTGTAACATTAGTCGAGAATGACAAATGAAAATTCGTTTAATTTACTATATTATAAACCATTGACTTGTATTTTACTGATAGTCATGCAGTACAACAATCCCATAAAGTTTTTGAAAAAGCTAAAATAAAAACCATCAATTGATTTCGCTGTTTTTTCATGGTCCTTCCTCAAGACCCATCCATGGGTTTGTGCTCTGATCCCTGATTGATCCGGAAAATTCATCCTCATAAACAATGAATTTCCTAATAATGTAATATAAAAAAAAAAATTATTATCGTGACCAGCACAAGCGAATTCAACCAGCGCCTTTTCTTGGTTGGTAGAAAAAAATTGCAAAAAAAGAAACACCCATTTAAAGAAAAGAAATATATAGGAAATATTCATCCTCATACACGAATTCCTAATGAAATTAAAAAAAACTTACTATAGTAACCAGCACTATAGAATACTGCCATGGGGCGCGCCTTCCATTGGATATTGAAAAAAAAGTCCAAACAACACCTATTTAATGAAAAGAGAAAAAAAGGGAAAATTGATCCTCATAGACGAATTTCCTAATGTTACACAAAAAAATATTATCGTAAACAGCACTAGTGATTTCTGCCAGGGGGCGCGTCCTCCGTTGGTTTGTGGAAAAGAATATCGAAAAAAGTTTTAAAAAAAAGAAGCTATTTATAAAAAAGAGAAATGTAGGGAAAATTCATCCTCATACACGAATTTCTTAATGAAATTAAAAAAAAAATACTGTAGCGACCAGCACAAGCGAATTCTGCCAGGGGGCGCACCTTCCGTGTTTCCTTTTTTAAAAAAACACCATGAGATGGAATGGCTTGTTCTACATTCCCAGTTTGTTCCCGTTGACTCCGAACTGAGTCTCGCAGATGAAATATATGATGGAGGAAAATTTATTTTAAAAAAAAAATGGACTTCATCCATCCTTTCGAACAACCTTTTGTTGGAGTACAAGAAAATACGGGTTTTTTCCGGACCCAGTTTTTACTCAGTTCCAATAGATCTAGACGCATTGCAACCTGCAGCAACTATAGTCTCTTGAAGAATCCATGCTATTCATAAAACTGGTCACGATAATAATTTGTATATTTCTCATTAGAAAGTGTTGTTCTTTTATGAAAATAGCTGCTGTTGGGAGAGTTTTCATGAAGGAATGTACTAATTATCCAAGTACTAATTATCCGGAGACCATCCGATTTGGTCAGAATCGGAAATTATTCTGAGTTTTTTTTTCTCTTTGAGAACTCATTTCTAAGCTGCAGACCATTTGTAGTAATATATTTAAGATTTTGACGATATCGGTAAAGATTAGCGTTCATTGACGGTGTTTAACCAACCCATATCACTTAATCAAACTATGAAGTTTAGGTACTCGTTCGACGCACAATTTGACGTTCTTTAATTATTAATTATACGATTCTTAAAGAATTAGATAAACCTGGAATTTTTCGCTGTTAAAAGTTTTGTCTTGGCAACCCGTGTTAGCAATTTAATTTTTTACATGTCTAAACCCATATACAGGGTGTCTCGTAAGTAGAGCGAAATATGTAAATGAGTGATAGCAAAACTCAATAAATACTAAAAAGCTTATATTAATAATGGTTCGATTTTTAGCGGGAAAGTAGGGAATTAAAATTTTGAATATTTAATAGTTGACCGTTGTATTATAAAGGAAGGAGATGGTCCGGGGTTGCGGTAATAAAATTTTGTGAATTTTTGAATTGAATTAAAATTTTTTGATTTTTTATGTCACGTTTTTTGTTTAATAAGAAGTGATAACAAAAACACTGTTTAATTTAAGTAATTAATGGTAGCTTCACTGTAAATTAGACAAAAACAAAATTTACTTCAAATAAAAATAAGGCCTATTTGGACTTACGGAGTTGAGCTGTGGGGCTCCACTAAACCATCGAATTCCTCTCGTATCCAATCCTTACAATCCAAAATCCTTCGTAAAATCCTCAATGCTCCCTACTTTGTTAGAAATAAAACCATCCATAATGACCTTAATGTTCCTTTTGTTTCAGATCTGGCCCAATCCAGATACCTATCCTTCCATAATAAACTTCAGAATCATCCCAACCCTCTCGTTTCTAACCTTGCTTCCTCTTCAATTCCTGATAACCCTCCGAGGCGTCTGAAAAGAAGATGGCCCCGTCATCTCCTAATGTAAACATATCATTAGAGTGCTACCATTGGGTAGTTACTCAGTAAGTGTTTTTCATGTCATTATATACATTATGTTCTAATTTACTAGTTGTATTTATTTAATACAGTTGTAAATGTCTTTAAGAAATAAAATAAAAAAATAAATAAATAAAAATAGAGTTTGCTTTTGTAAAAACCATGGAAAGAGGACTTTTGAGCAGCTAAACTAAGCTTAGGAGTGGAGGGAAATGGCTAGGGATGGGAATACGGGTAGGGATGGGGAAAGCACCTGGTACACGCCCCCCTCCCTGAGAAATTCCTGGATCCGCTACTGATAGCATTATGTAAATTTAATTTGAGATTTCGAGATATATTACGGGATTTCGAAACCTTTGAAGGAGTGAATAAAGCTCTTAATCGCTTTTTATATGTTGGGATACTTCTGACCGTTGTTCATTTATGAAGGTTGAACCAAGTTGTACAGTAACAACTACGGTCCATCTCTCTTTCCAGAGCACTTTGAATTTCGGCTTATGCGATTTGTTGTACAAGCCTTCGTCATTCTCACTTACTCCTCAAGAGCTGATGGCTCGGTTATGGTCTTTCATACACAGTACATAATAAAACATAGTTTTATAAAAAAATTTACATAAGTTATTCAAATAAAATTGTAATAAAAATTTATATAAATCACTAATTGGCTAGTTATTATTATTTACCTCCACGCGATGTTGATGATGTATAACAGTACATAAACCATATGTTACTTCTTATTTTGTTATCCGAGATTTCAACATACACCATATCGCTTCCTACTTTTTGTTACTCAGTTATGCTGTGTATACATTCTGTACAATATAGAGAAGACATATACTATTATGAATGAATTTCACTTTTGTGGAATAAATGCTAAAGGATAAATTGTGATTTAGGTTGAAAAGCAACTATGAACACGAGACAGTTATCAAAATTTGTATACATAAAAAATTAATTTTTAATACCCCTGTGGTAAAAACAGAAATTAAACTAGAAATGGAAATCATTAAAGTGAAATCTCTTTTGGAGCGCTTGGCACACACCTAAGGGTGTGGAGGTGCCCCATCACCTTACTGTTAACCAACATGTTTTCTGTTTTCAATAAAACACAAATACTTGCAATTGAGATAAGGCCTTAAAATGTAGCCCAGTGACAGAAGAAGGCGTTAAACAGACAAATTGTCAAATTTCATTATTCATTATTGCGATCATAAAAAAATAATAAATAAATAAAAATAAAAAAAGCAATAAAATTATTGGAACGTCCCACAAGCCATAACGCCGAAGCTTTTTGCGTTTTATTGGTATAATCAAAGTTACATTAATAACTGGTAACAAAAAAAATTATTTGCTCGTTTGGAACGTTTAAGTTAGTAAGTGGCAAATATTAAGACATAAAAATAATAAAAATTTATCCAAAATGGAGGTCGGAGCGACTCGTCTGAGGTAGGCACACAACACAGTGTGTGGGAGAGGTTCTCAAGATTCGTCAATCGAGAAGTGCGAGCGAGTCTCTCGTTGAGACTGATTCGTCGTCGTGAGCGAGTCTCTCGTTGAGACTGGTTCATCGTCGTCGTCGTGGGTTCGTGTCTCAGGAGCACTTCGTACCTCCACGTGGGGTTGTCGAGGTTTAACTCTATATAAAATACAACTTGTCTGCTAT